TGCTGAACCCTTTGAGGAACCTCTGATTGTTTCAGTTGAAAATCGAGTTGGTCCCAACAAAGATGAGACTATTGGAGCTGTTGTTATTCCTTTAAACCAAGTTGACAAGCGTGCTGATGATAGACCAATCCATACTAGGTGGTATCACCTTGAAGAATCCATGTCATCTGCAATGGATGGGGAACATGGTAAAAAGGAGAAAGATAAATTTTTCAGTAGAATTCACCTCAGTGTCTGTCTTGATGGTGGGTACCATGTTTTTGATGGGTCAACTTACTATAGTGGTGATCTCAGAGCCACATCAAAGCAACTCTGGAAGAAGTCAATCGGTATCCTAGAACTTGGCATACTAAGTGTTGATGGGCTTCATCCAATGAAAACCAGAGATGGAAGGGGGTCAACAGATACATTCTGTGTGGCAAAATATGGGCACAAATGGGTTCGCACTCGAACCATTACCGACAGCCTAAGTCCAAAATACAATGAGCAGTACACTTGGGAAGTTTATGATCCAGCTACCGTTCTCACTGTGGGGGTGTTTGATAATGGACATCTTACTAATTCAGATGGTAACAAGGATCTGAAAATTGGTAAAGTACGGATCCGAATCTCCACCCTGGAAAGTGGCCGTGTTTATACAAACAGGTATCCTTTACTAATGCTACATCCTTCAGGTGTCAAGAAGATGGGTGATCTGCACTTGGCCATTAGATTCTCGTGTTTCTCAACAGTTGACTTGATGCAACTATATTTCAAGCCTCACTTGCCAAAAATGCACTATAAAAGGCCACTTAACTTGATGGAACAGGAAAAGCTGCGACACCAAGCGGTCAGTGTTGTTGCTGCACGACTGAGTAGGGCGGAACCCCCACTTAGAAAGGAGGTAGTTGAATACATGTGTGACACGGATTCTCATCTTTGGAGCATGAGACGCAGCAAGGCGAACTTCTACCGTTTGATGACAGTGTTTTCTGGAATTCTGAGAGTTGTAAGGTGGTTGGGGGAAGTATCGACATGGAAGAATCCCATAACAACAGTGCTGGTGCACATTCTTTTTCTGATGCTCGTGTGTTTCCCTGAACTTATTCTGCCAACTGTCTTTCTGTACTTGTTTGTAATCGGAATGTGGAATTGGAGGTTCCGGCCGAGGTGCCCTCCTCACATGAACACCAGACTCTCTTATGCTGATGGGGTGTCCCCAGATGAGCTTGATGAGGAATTTGACACGTTTCCCACCTCAAAGAGCCCTGACATTGTACGGTGGAGGTACGATCGGTTGAGAAGCGTGGCTGGGAGGATTCAGAGTGTTGTTGGAGACTTGGCTACTCAAGGAGAGAGGGTCCAAGCTCTTGTGAGCTGGCGCGATCCTCGTGCCACCACCATGTTCATGGTATTCTGCTTTGTGGCTGCTATTGTGTTGTATGTCACACCTTTCCAGCTTCCCATTCTTCTTACTGGATTTTACCTTATGAGGCACCCCATGCTCCGGAGTAAGGTGCCGCCGGCTCCGGTCAATTTCTTCCGTAGGTTGCCTGCTCTCACAGACAGCATGCTGTAAATCAACTCTCTTCTGTGTCTTGGAAACTTATCTCCTGCTACCATTCTATGATTTTTGGCAGTAATCGTAAAATCATTGGAGCTATCTCACCTTTTGTTGTTTAATGAGTGTTTACTGTAATGTTGATGCAAATGAGTACTTAGAGTGTTAACCTCCGGTTTTGAACTTGTGTTCTTTACTGTAGTGTTTACTCAATGATCTGTCCCAAGTGTCTATAAGAAATTTGTCTTTCTAAAAAGAGTGCTGAAATGATCTTTGGGCTCAATTTGTGTTCTACCTAAAAAATCAAGGTGAGATGGGTATTTTAACTAATGGAAAATTCTTTTTACATATTTTTACCAATCTCCTAAATAAATATCAAACACTTGAGTATTCGATAAATAACATGTAGAAGCTATAGAATCTCATTAAGATTTCATATCCCCCTGATTTCAGTTGGGCCTTAATTTGTTCAGAGTTTTGAAATTCTATGTAATGCTCTCGGAATCTCAAAGATTATAGCCAAGTTTTTTTTTTTTAACTTTTCCGAATCTCGTGCTAACAAAAGAAGTAGGTGGGTTTCGGTGAGCAGAGTTACAAGTCGAGAAATGTTGTCTGTTCCAATAGTCTTATAAGGGCTTTAAAGAAAATATTTTTTTACCGAATACCCTGTACACACTGTACAAAAAGGATAATGAAAATTTACTCGAGGGTTTTCTCTTGTATCAGAAGCAAAACCTGACAAATTTTGGTGGTTTGATGTTTGAGGATCTTCTAGAAACCAATCAATAAGTTGTTAAGAGACTACAAGTGCTCAAAAATATTTTCAACACTCTAGACTTAGAAAATAGACCTAACGAATTGAAAGTTTATATAGGTTTACGCGATTTTACTTGTGATATTGTTTTTGATACTGAAATTTATTTGTTGAATCTGACATTGTTATTGTTCCGGTATGCCTAAAAGTTCCACATCGCTTAGGAGTCGAGGCTAAGGGTAGTTTATAAACACTCTTCCTCCTTAACCCACCGAGGCGCCTTTTCAAGGACAAAACTGTGACGGCCCAACGAGCGCCAAAGCGGACAATACCTCGGATGCGGTGACCCTAACGATGACAGCGAACTTACGGTAGGAACATTGGCGCTAGAAGGAGGGCCCAGGCCACTCTCGCCCCTTAGCATCGACTGGGGGGCTTGTTCCGGTATGCCTAAAAGTTCCACATCGCTTAGGAGTCGAGGCTAAGGGTAGTTTATAAACACTCTTCCTTCTTAACCCACCGAGGCGCCTTTTCAAGGACAAAACTGTGACGGCCCAACGAGCGCCAAAGCGGACAATACCTCGGATGCGGTGACCCTAACGATGACAGCAAACTTACTGTAGGAACAGTTATTATTTGACAAATAACTTTATATAGATATATGTGATATTTACTTGTTATTATTTGAAAGTTTGTTGTTTGTTGAATCAATACTCAAAACTGTACTGATTGCATTATCAAATATCGACGGATAGATCAACAATGGGAGACCTAGATGAGGTTTATACAAGATTGGCGATGATGATAAAGAGTTCTTGAGTTCTTCAAAGGCCTTCTAACATTCATCATTCCAAACGAAACAATTGTTCTTTTTCAAGCATTGCAAGAGAGGCAGTGCTTTATCAACCAACTTTGAAATGTTGAACCTCTTTCATAATTCTTGGACTTCTCATGTTAATTATTGCTGAACATTTATTTGGGTTGACTTTAATTATAATATTTTAAATTTTTAAGACAATGTTTAATTATATTATTATAAATTTAATTGTTCTTAATTTTTTTATGAATCTATATAATATCTAATTGTTAATAATCTAAATTCATAATTGAAATATTTTTAAATTGTAATATTTTAAATTTTCAGTAAAATATTTTATTTACATTGATGGAAGTATTTTTAATTTTTAAAATATATTATATAAGTAAACTACTTACTAGATAGATAGTACCTGATATCATACACATACATGTGTTGATTAAGCATTTTTTTTACTATGAGAAATTAATTCTTGGTTACAAATAGTTAAGTTTAATTTAATTTTTTACGAATAAAATTTTGAGTTAATATAACTATATTTAATTATATGAAAACTTCAATTTTTATTTTAAATATAAATATAAAATTCCTCTCTTTCTCTCACACATATATATATATATATATATATGATCTGAATGGATAAACCTACATATCTGCTACTTGACTTATCCATAGTACGAGTGATCCATATTAAACGAAATCTAAGTATAATAAACAAAAAAATTGAAATTACGATATGTAAAAATAAAATATCAACTAACTGTAGTGATGATGAATTTGCCTATATAGGTATCATCAAACTTGCAAATAGAAGTACAAAACGGATATATTAGAAAATGTGATCAAAGGTGAACGTGAGAAAAGTGAGTGAAGTAGAAAAAAATTGGGTTTCTATTTAGTTATTTTCAAAGTTCCTAAATTTTGTTTATAGTATTGTTTCAAATATTAAGGTATGGGGGCAAGACTTTTATCTCTTTTAAATTTTTATATTATTTTAATTGTCTATTTTATATTATTCTTATTTATATTTATTTAGTGAGGTATTCTTAATCTTATCTTACTTGTTCAATGTATGTTAATTTTAATAAATTAGTGAAGTGTCTATAATTCATTTTATTTAATTATTTGTTGTTAATCTTAAATATCATTTATACAATTTAAATTTATTTTTAAATTTATTATTTAGTTGTTATTATTTAATTGATTATATATATATATAAATATATAAAATACACACACACACACACATATATATATATATATATATATATTTTATATAGTAGTAAATGTAAATTTTAATTTTTAATAAATTATTAATTGGTTTGAATTAATTTATAGTTAAAAATTTAACCTTGGGATTTAAATGAGTAAATGCTTAAGGTAAAATATTCTTGTATTATTTGGTACCATAATTAAGCTAATTTATCCTGACTAGTTACTACAAAAATAATGCAAATCCTTCCATGGAGTAAAAAAATATATTTAAATTTGTGATTAATAATAATATGCAAATATATATATATATCAATTATACCTGAACCTTTCACTACGGTTACTTTGACTATATTTTCTGGTACCAGTTGGACTGTAGATACTATTGAAAATTCAATGACGTTTCAAGACATCAAGTTATCTTTCTTTGTATTTTCACCAAATCAACAAGTTCCAATATATATTGATGGTCCTATGTAGGGATGACAAAAATACCCGCACCTGCAGATATATGCGGGTAAAATCCGCTACGGATAATAAATGGATAGACTAATTGGGTACTCGCGGATAATGAGAATGAATAATTTTTTACCCGTTTATAAATGGGTGGAGGCGGGTATGATATCCATACCCGCGGCTACTTGTTTAATAATATTTTTTAAATATTTTAATTATTCTTGTACCACATAACCCTAAAATTACACTCTCTCATCTTATTTTCTTACAAAAGTGAGGTTGATGAAGTTATCAACATGTGTTAAGCATGTTATAGAATTATGTCGGATATAATTTGATTAATTTTCTAGCTTTGATTGGACCAATAAGATTTATTTATTTTAAGTTGTTTACTTTCGTTTGGAATTATGAGATTAAATTATTGTAATTTCGTGATATGAGACTTTCACTTACTTGTTAGATTGGTGTATTTTAAGTTATTGATTATCTTGCATTTTTATTATTATTTCAACAAAATTAACTTTAAATACAAGTTCAAAATTAACATTGAATTTTTATTTTTAATATTTCAATCACATTAAATATAAACTTGAAATTATTTGTAATATAATTTTTTTAATTTTTTAAAAAATTTATAAATGTCCATGGATATCCGTGGGTATTCAAGAAATTCATGGATACCCGCTTAATGGATACCCGCACGGATATGAGGTGGGTATGAGGTTAATTTTCATCCAGCAGGGCGGGGACGAGTTTACTATTACCCACCCCCATGGGCCTCCATTGCCATCCCTAGTCCTATGGTGGTCACATACTACCTACCCCTACTAACCATGTCAATCATATAGTAAATTTATATCAACCTAGGATGTAAATATGTTAATATAAGTAAAAAGGAAAATTTGTATTAAAATAAGATTTTTTTCCTTCATCTAGATGTCATATTAAGTTATATATAGTTTTAATGTACCAAAAATCACTTTTTGTATAAATATATCTAACTATGGTATTTTTTTTTACCTGGTATTGTTTCAAAATTTAAATTATAAATGATAAGAATTTTATAATAAAACTTGTATAGCAATTTTAAATTCTATAATAGGGATATAAATATTGGTCGACGAATAACTTGGTTTATATTAACTTGATTTTATAAAAAGAAAATCATTATTTTACAAAAGTGAATACTATAACTAAGATAATTAATTTGGTTGATTTATGAAATAAATATTAAATAATTAAGTTAAGAATTATGAGAAAGGTGTTTCATTAATTTCTTGATGTGTTAATAAGAAATCAATAAATTTTCCTGCTTGTATGTTGAAAGAACACTTCTCTAGATTAAGCTTAATTCAGTATTTATCAATTGTATCGAACAACACCTATAAATTGGAAAAATGTTGACTGACACTGACAAACTTGATGACCATATCATCTACATAAGCCTCCACATTCCTTTCGAGTTGGTCAACTGATACCTTATCCATCAACATTTAATAAGTGGCTTCGTCATTCTTAAGGCCGAAAGAGATGACCCTATAGTAGTAATTTTCTTGATCCATAATAATTGTTGTTTTTATCCTCATCTATTAGATGCATTTGGGTTTGATTATATCTTGAATACACGTCCATGAAACTCAAAATTTTGTAACCAAAGGCACCAATGACCAAGCAATCTATGTTCGACAAAGGATATGAGTCCTTTGGACAAGCCTTGTTCAATTTTGTGAAGTTGATGCATATCCTTTATTTTCCACTACTTTTTTTTAACATCACTACATTCACTAGCCATGTTGGAAATTGAATTTCTCAAATGTGGCTGACTACCACTAACTTCTTTGTTTCTTCCACTATTGTTTTCTTTTTTCCTCCCCAAACTTCCTTCTTTTATGTATTGTTGCCTTTGCTTTCGATCTAAGGCTAGCTTATGACATAGTATGTCGGGATCTATGCCTGACATGTTACTTGCACTCCTAGAAAAAAATTGACAAGCTTTTCTCCAAACATGAACCAAACCCT